CTGAGATGGATTACTGTCGGGTTGTGAGTCCTCGCGGCCTGTGCCGGCCGCTCGACGAGAAGCAAGGGTTCCCAACAAACACTTCGCCTCTCGCACCCTGTCAGGGTTGCTCGAAAGCAGAGCAAAGCAGGACGACTTTTCGAGAAGAGGCTGCAGGCAGGGACAGGGTGCTGCGGGAACGCGTCTCTCCCCCCTCCTCCGGCCGTCCTTTCCTTCCTTACAAAGCAACTAAAAGCTTTGAAAAGCCTCGGGGACGCGTCTGTCCCCCCCCGTCCTTCGAGACAAGGCCAGGAGGCACCGGCTCCCTGAATCTGCCCCTGGAATCTGCCAGGCTGGGGCCCCAGACCCCCAGGAATTGCCCAACTTTTCGCGAAAATTGGTTACAGACTAACGTGTGCATTGTGTGAGGCGTAGCCGAGTCATTTCCGTCCCCGCATACCGGGAGGCTTTACCCTCCCTCACCGTTCTGTCGAGACGCTCGGCCGGGGGCCTCGGTCGGAGCCTCGAGCGCCCATGCTAATGGTCAGCGGCGCTCTCGGCAGTTTAGGGCTCAGGGTTTAGGGTCTCTGGTTTAGGGTTAAGGCTCCGACTTAACAGGTTTAGGGTTTAGGAGTTTAGAGCTTATCGCTTCAAGGTTTAAGGTAAATCCTACGCTAGTAGTAGAATCACCAGACATCGCGGCCCGGTGGAGCGAACGTTGGGATGCCATAACTTGGCTACACTGTTACTCATGGCTAGAGAGCGGAAGTTGCTGGGGAGATGAGCTGGTCCCTTCTTGCGCAGTTTAGGGTTTTTTTTAAAGTGCAATGGGACTTTCTCTCGCTCCACCTGCCCGGCCTGTATTTCAGGCTTGCACAAAACCAAAGAAAAACCACCCCTGCTGCAGTTTCTGCACAAGCAGCAGTAGGACATGTCATCCCTCAAAAACTCCAGCTCACTCATCTAGTGCAACAATCGCTGAACGACCCTCAGAAGAGCTCTCAACTGCAGGACCACCCTGTCAGGAGTCAAAGCAGAGGCATGTGTAGCAACTCCACCATCAGCAGAGCCACCCAGGTCACCCACAGTAGTGACACCCCAACGAACACCGGCAGAAGTAGAAGGCCCAAGAGCAGCAGTTGAAGGAAGGGCATCACGATGCTGAAGAGGGTCACCCCCAGGGAGAAGGTCAGCAGTAGTTTCCAGAGAATCTCCACCATGAACGGGACCAGCATGATCACCTTCGGCCGCGACCGGATGTGAAAAATGCTGACTCATCGACTGAGCGCCTCTCTATCAACGAAGTCGCAATCTTCCGCTGGATCCCGAAATGGATCTCACCATCTCGTACTCTTCGCCGTCTGTAACTCCAGCCCGGTACAGGGCCCGGGCTTGGGCCTGGGCCCGACGAAGTGCTTTCTCCTGCTTTGCCCGCTCCTGAGCAATAGTTTTCTGCTTCTCCGGTTTCGGCTGCTCCGCCGGCGACTGAACAGCTGTCGGCGCTGCCTTGGCCAGCCGCACATGCCAGATGCATACCACGAGGGAAGCCGCCACGATGAGCAGGGCAAGGCTCAGGATTTCGAAGATCATGGCAGTGGCTCACAGGTGAATGAAGGGCGCAAGCGGCTGCGACACTACACCGAGAAAGGGCTGTGAAATGTCTTGAGCCGTAGCCATTTCGCAGTTTAGGGTTTAGGGTTTTGGGTTTCGGATTTAGGGTTTTGGGTTTAGGGTTTTGGGTTAGCGTGATGCGAAAACACAAGGGATGGCCAAATCTCATTCCGAGGGGTATCAGGCCCTGGCGCCTTGCCCGATTTCTGTGCCCTGCACAGCCTTTCCAAGTCAATGAGCGACGGGGGTCACAAGGACGCAAGCTGGGCGTTCACCACGGCCTGGTACCCGAGGGCACAGCTGGCGATGGTGGCCATACCGTGAATTTGCCCGTTGCAGCCCAACCAGGTACTCCCCAACGGCGCCGGAGCGCCGCGGAGCTCGACAGTCTTTAAATGGTTTAGGACCAACTGTAGCCATGCTTCCTTCAGGACCATGATGCGTTCTCCGTCTGTGGGGCACAACCATGGTCCTCCAGGTCCTGAAACATCCGCCCCACCGGCGTGTCTGAAGGAGCCGGGCCTGAAAAAGTTCCTGCGACACGATTTGTCCGTCTTCCTGTTCCTGGAACCCTAAGCTTATATAACCCTAAACCCTAAACCCTAAGCTCATATAACCCTAAACCCTAAACCCTAAACCCTAAACCCTAAACCCTAAACCCTAAACCTAAACCCTAAACCCTAAGCTCATGTAACCCTAAACCCTAAACCCTAAGCTCATGTAACCCTAAACTCTTGTAACCTCCGAAATCGAACCTGGAGCAGAGGGCTGGCCTTAAGCTGTCTGCGAAAACGCAGAGTTTAGGATCCCAGGGCATTGCTAGGGCTTTAGGGCTCTTGGGTTTAGGGCTTTAGGGTTTCGGGTTTAGGGTTTAGGGTTTAGGGTTTAAGGGTTTCGGGTTTAGGGTTTAGGGCTTAGGCAGGATCCAAGGCAATTCCAGGGTTTTTGCGTTGGTGTCAAACGGTCTGATACGGCTTGGTGTTGTAATATGGCTTTGGGTTTAGTTAGAGCTTGGCATGTACAGCCTAGCTCCCTAAACCCTCAACCCCACCCTAAACCCCTAAACCCTAAACCCCTAAACCCTAAACCTCTAAACCTCCAAACCCCGCAACCCTGAACCTCTAAACCCCTAAACCCTGAACCCCTAAACCCTTACACCCTAAATCCCCTAAACCCTTAAACCACAAACCCCTAAACCCTAAACCCACCAATGGGGCCGGTCCAGCCCCTGCTGCTCCAGCCGCTTCGGGCCCAATGCCGCAGCGGCAGCGGCACCAAGGAAAGCGCTGAGCGCCACGAAGAGACAAAGCAAGAAGGGCCTGGCAGTTCTACATTTAGGGTTCAGGGCAGTTTTAAACCCTAAACCCTAAACCCTAAACCCTAAACCGTTATAGGCTTTAGGCCGAAGGTTTTGCCATGAGCTGCTTTGAGGGCCTTATCACGGGATCTACTGCGGGATTGAAGGCTCCAAAGAGCCCAGCCAATCCCCTTAAACCGAACCCTAAACCCCTAAAGCCCTAAAACCCTAGAAACCCTAAACCCCTAAACCCCTAAAGCCCTAAAACCCTAAAACCCTAAACCCTAAACCCCTAAACCCCTATACCCTATACCCTATATCCTTTAACTGGTCTCGCCTAGAGAATGCTCCTTGAGCTTCAGGGTTCGGTGGGCCTTCGTAGGGCTTTCAAGGCTCTGGTTTTAGTTCAGCGTTTAGGGTTTAGGGTTTAGGGCTTAGGGTTTAGGGTTTAGGGTTTAGGGTTCAGGGTTTACGGAACGGGGAATCTGGTCCTGATAACCGAAGGAGTTTCCGTAATGAACGGGTTCTGAAGTCTCGACGGTATCTGCGATGATCCGAAATTCAGGCGCTGTGTGCCCGAAACTACCTAAACCCTAAACCCTAAACCCTAAACCCGAAACCCTAAGCCAAGGGCATGCGCTTTGCAAGTTTGGAAGGCGTCGGACACGGCTTTCATCGGCGATGATGCTGATGATGATACTGGCGATGCTGGTGGTGATAATGATGCCGGGCTGCCCTAAACCCTAAACCCTCAGCCCCTAACCCTAAACCCTAAACCCTAAGCCCTGAACCCTAAACTTACACCAAACAACCCCAACGCTTAACTTCAAACCAGACCGACCGTGAACTCCGTAAGCTCTGAACCCCAAACCCTACGGTTTAGAGTCTACGGTCCAGGGTTCAGGGTTTAGGGTTCAGGGTTCAGGGTTTAGGGTTTAACTCTACAGCCACAGAGTACCGAAAAGACCTTTGTGCAATCCAGTTCAGCCGCCATACAATCCCACCAGTCCTAGGTAGTGTTAGGGCGACCCCTTAAAGGGGACCCTTCTGAACCCTACTTGTGGCTCTCTTAAAGGGGACCTTATTGAGAGGGTCTATGTCCCCAAGGGTCCCCTAATCCTAACTCCCTAAACCCTAACTCCCAACCAGAACCCTACACCCGAGAATCCCTGCGAGGCCTCTTTCGAGGGAGGAGGAACTCGACGACCTGGGTGTAGGGTTTAGGGTTTGCGGTTTGGGGTTGAGGGTTTGGGGTTTGGGGCTTGAGGTTTAGGGCTTTTAAGGCTGCCATGCGCTCCCGACTGTACATTGTAAAAAGCGGAGTAATTCTGGCTGGCGCGTCGGCGCAGCTACCAGGTGCGATTTGAAGGCCCCATTCTGTTGAAGCATCTGTTTTATTCCCAAGAAATCCCTGCG